TTTTTTTTCACTCCTTAATAAAGGCGTACAAGAAACGTCAAGAGGAAAAGAAGACTTGGTCTGAAGCACGGGATTTCTGCAGGGCCATTGGCGGGGACCTCATAAGCTTACACAGTCATCAGGAATGTAGAGAGCTCAAGTATGTTTACTTGCACTAGCTAACAGCTTGCATATCTCAGAATTCATACTGGGTAAATCAACAAGTCAGATAATCAGTGCTTGTGTTTTTTACTTTCATACAGTGTCTACTACAGTGAAAAATTCTGGATAGGCCTCAGCTTACAGGGAACCAATGGAGGTTTTGTCTGGAGTGATGGATCACCGGTATGTAGAAATTCAGAACAATCAGGAAAAGCTTTAATTATTACTGCTCTCATTTCCTGCCTAATTATGTATCTTTGTAAAAACTTTGACCTAGTTTGACTTTGAGAACTGGGGCTATGGAGAACCAAATAACCACAATGACAACGAGCACTGTACAGAGATGGACTCTAACTTAAGAATGAGGTGGAATGATCGACACTGTGATGCCTACAATAGCTGGATTTGCCAGTTACGCAAAGGTGAGACAGGCTGATCATATCTTGGAATTTCAGCTCACACAGAGCCAGATTTCCAAACATTTGGCGTTAAATTAAAGCTTGGTAATATTTGTGGGTCTCGCTTATTTATTCTCAGGTGTGACTCCCAACCCCGAGCCTGTGATATCTGTACAAGGTAAGTTTAATTATTGTTCAGAGAAAAGTCTAGTTGATTCAACAGATCTTTTTATTTCACTGAGAAATACAGTGTAGGTCAGTTGATTCACTATTTCTGTCTAGACTCAACGATGCCCTCTGCTATTTCATTGATTGGTCTAAAATGTAAATTATACCTCATTAATTCATTTATGGTTCTTTGAGTCTAAACCCTAAGGATTCTTTAATATTTCTGCCTTTTTTCTTTTCATAAATCAACTTAAAGATTTACAAAGCTGCCTGCATGACTGAACTCCCAATGACTGTTTTTGCTCTCTTTGCAGAATACAACACCACAGACGATGGATGGCTTCTATACAATGACAGCCAGTATTACCTGAACATGAAAAAACAGAGTATGGAAGCAGCCAGAGCCTATTGCAAAAAAAACTTTGGTGAACTTGTAGTCATCACAGGAGAGAGCGAGAGAAAGTTCCTTTGGAAACAGGCAAGAACTATAGAATTCATTTCCAAACCTGATAAATCAAATCAGGACCTTTGTGCATTTTCTTTAAATTCTAAAATCCACAGAGTCTCTTTTTCCTTTTCCTCCTAATATAAAGTCGCATTTTATGTTTCAACAGATTTCTAGAGGAACACAAGGACAGTACTACATCGGCCTGATAGTGAATTTAGATAAATCATTTAGGTAAATCAAAATGCATTATTTACAAAAAATAAACACTAGCTGTTTACAAACAACCTTCATCAAATGTTTAGGATTCTTGATAACTTGTTAATTCTCTTCTTTTCATTTTAAGCTGGCTTGATGGCACCCCTGTAACTTACACCGCATGGGAACACAATGAGCCCAACTTTGCCAACAATGATGAAAACTGTGTGACTATGTACAACAGCATGGGTGAGTCTAATACAGAGAAAATCTATATTGTAATTTATCCGGTTGTTCAGTCTGACGTCACTAGCCGTGTCTGGGTCTAAACTCCGCTGCAGGTCCATATATCAAACGATCACTGTGGCATTACTGAGAGTTGAAAAACTGTCTAAAGTCTTTCATCTTTAATAAAATGATCAGCGTTCTGCTCTACCAGGTGTAACAATTGAGTTTAACATCCAGGCATCCATGAAAACGGAATTTATGACATTTAACGGAGTTAGAAGTTAGCAGGGAGTTAGCTCGCTAGCTTCTATCTAAATACAATATAGCATGTCCTGTCCTGAAACAAATTCAAACGTACAGCTTTCTTATCACTTCCAGCATAAATGAAGACAGAAAACTAAACAGCAGTGACGTTTGTAGGGTTACTGAAGTTTGGCTAGCTGGTATATAATGATGTGCTACGTGACCGCTAGCGACATAGCTATGTTAGCATAATTTAAACAAGCTAACTTTTTTTCCCCACTCGATAAAAGTTAACGTGAGTTTTCTCGGTGGTCAGAAACAAATGTAATCGCATGGCAGGATGCTGTAAAAGGACCAAACTTCAGCCAGGAGAACAACTGAGATAATCCATCCACAACACGAGGTTAGTCATTCATATACTGCTGCATGGGCTGGGGTGTAGTTACATCCTAAGGTTTTAAAAACTGAGCTTAAATAAATGATTAACGGTAATAAAAGCCGAGGGAGGTCAACAGGGATCACTGACTGTTTTAGGAGCTTTTTGAGATCAAATAGAAGAAAATACATAACATTAAACATGTTAACAACACAAAAGCCATATTAAACGCAGACTACTTTAGACCCGGAAGTAGGATTCGTCGCGTCATCACTGAACAACCGGATAGTAAATGTTAGTAAAAAATGAATCCCTAAATCCCTTGAAATGATTTGAAATTGAATTCAATTCATAATTTTCTGTAAATTCTTCACATGTAGGGTACTGGAATGATATTAACTGTGGTATTGAGCTTCCGTCGATATGTAAGAGAAGCAACAGTTTTATCAATACAACAATGGCCCCGACCACAGCTCCCAAAGGAGGATGTGCTCCAGAGTGGCTAGCTTTCCAAGGAAAGGTAAATACATATGTACTACACAGATTATTCCAGGTAAATGTCTTTAATTAAACAAACAAATAAATAAAAAGTATGGAAAAATATCCTGGCCAAGTTGATTTCTGCCCATTTGTTATTTCAGTATAAACGCCCTGATTACATTTTATTTACACAGTGCTACAAATTTGTTGTGGGGAATCACAAAAACTGGCACGATGCCAGGACACACTGCATAAACCAGGGAGGAAATCTGCTTTCTATAACCAGTGAGAAAGAGCAAGGTGAGTGACAGGAGTGTTGCAAAGTGCAGTTCATGTTTAAACATATCGGCTGATTTTCATGTGTCACTAAATTACATTGCAATAATTCCTTTCTAGCTTTCCTAACAACACAGATGCTGAACTACAAGGAAGATTTTTGGATTGGTATGAATGATGTCAACTGGGAGATGCGCTTTGTGTGGACAGATGGGAAAAGTATTTCCTACACCAACTGGGCCTTAGGGGAGCCAGCATCAGCACCTCCAGGAAGATATTTTCATGAGGTTTTTCTGAGAATTTTTTCTCTCCCTCACACGCTTTAATTTAGAAAAGACATTGAATTAGACTGAGTGCTGCCTATCCAGACAGCTAATATTAAATAAACAGTTTAGTTTAACAGTATGGCACATGTATGTGCTCCAGATTTTCCCAGTCACCTTAGCACATGATTAGGAAGAAGTCTAATATGATATTCAAAAGATCACTTTTAATCACTGAAATGGTAGTATTTCTTTGTTATCCCATGCTTCCAAGTCAAGGTTTGGTCTAATGAACATATACAATATTTAAAATCTTTGTTTCATAATCAGTACTATAGAAAGAAAAAAACAACAGCAGCTATGTTTCCAGTTATCGAGTTCAGGAGTCTCTCGCAGCTGCCACAGGGTCAGAGGTGGGCACACAGTGGCCTTTGCTGGGTGAAGAGACACAGAGAGGTGGACATCCGTGCTCACAGTCAATTTAGAGTCATCAGTTAACCTAACCTGCCTGCAGAGCATGCAGGCAGACACAGCACCACTTGTATCTACTAGTTAAATAAGTAAATCTGTAAACTCTTTTACTCCACCAGCCATTCTGCCTCCATCACACAGTGATTACACAGATTATGTGTGCATGCCCCAGTGGTAATATTTATGTAAGACAATAAGGCAAACATTTACTTACTCAAATGGTGTGTAAAAAGAAATGTCAGCATACTGTCATCATAATACAATCAATGGAAACAAACCTTTTTTTTCTGCTTGACAGTCCTATGACTGCGTGATCATGATGGGCACCAGTGCCAGAAAAACTGGATACTGGAAGGTGGATGACTGTCAGTCAGATTATGGCTTCATCTGTAAAAGAAAAATTGGTGAGTAACAAACTGATGAGGCCACACTATCAGTAAAGCATGCTGTTAAATTTGAAGGCGCTCTCTATTATCCTTATCCTTAAATGTATTATGCAACTCACCTCTATGAGTCACAAGATCAAGCTTCAGACAACTTTTTTAACTCTTGGATCTGTGTGATGTCAGTGACTAACCCTAATATGGTCATGTTGCCTATGGCCACAATAGCCCTATGCCAAGGAGTTCAAACCTGTTCTATGTAACAGTCAGCCAATCAGAACAATCAGTTTACAGTTAGCTTAACAATACCCAGCATAACAAAAATGATTTCAACATTTAAATGATTTAAAAGTGTGACTTGTCATGAATTGTTGAATGATGGCAGTTGAGAGGACGCTGAATCATGATGTTGAAACAGGCATTACAACAGAAATGCGTCATTACACTGCAGAGCAGTACAGCGGCATGAAAAACAAAAGAAAAACACACAGAGAATGGCTAGGAGCCAAACAGGAAGCACAACCAGAAGCAAAACAGGTGATCTGACAAAAAAAGACGGGGTCAAAACAGGACTCTGTATACACAGGGGGCTGCTGAGGATGAAAAACAGGTGGAAGAAGGTCAAAGTACAGGAGCAAGTAATCAAACAGAAGTGAAAACAATGAGAGAAACAGGAGGGGTGAAAAAGCAAAGTGGAAAATAGTTCCGTTTTGTGTAATCGAACTTGAGTTGCAGAGCCCTTACGTAGACATTTCTTGTGACTGTGATTACCAGCTAATGTGTGTCATTTACTCAGATTCACAAATTGCTGTCAAACCCACAACTGTGTCACCAAAGACCTTCTACAAGCTCGGCAATGACTCCTACAAAGTGGTGACCCAGAAAATGCGCTGGGATGAGGCCAGGAGGCAGTGCCAAGCAGATGATGCAGAGCTGGCTAGCATCCTGAGCCCCGTAGCACACGCATACGCCACCTTGCAGATTCTCAAGTTCAACGAGCCTTTGTGGATTGGCCTCAACAGCAATGTGGTAGGGGTCTACCTGTTACAGCTTATTGCTGGTTCAAGCAGGATTTCAAGTTGAGATTTTGACCTTGTTTCTAGCTCTGTGTCAGTTTTCAACGATTTTATTTTTTCACAGACTGGTTTTCACTTCAAGTGGGTGGATAACTGGGCTCTGTCTTACACCAAATGGGGCAAAAATGAACCTAAAAATAACTACGCCTGTGTGTATGTAGATGTGGACAAAACATGGAAGACTGCACCATGTACCAATACCTATTATTCCCTTTGCAAAAGGTCACAAGGTGAGACATTCTGTGTTTTACACTTTGTACACACTCACTATGCAAAGTTAGCAGGCAGCTCATAAGACTGGCAAACAAAACTGCTCCTTCTTTTTCAGTTGTAGCTCCCACTGCTCCCCCGCAGCTTCCTGGAGACTGTCCACAATCAACAAGCAGGAGAACATGGATACCTTTCAGAGGCCATTGTTATTCCTTCTTCAGCTCAGTGACCAACGACTGGGCCCACGCCTCAATTGAATGTATAAAAATGGGTAAGTTACAAATAATTCAACGTAAACAGAGAATTATGTCCATGTTTATAACCTTTAGCTTTTAACTGTTGTACCATGTTTATCAGGTGCTTCTCTAGTGAGTATTCAGGACCCTATTGAGAGTAAATTCATAGAAGAGAATGTGGAGATTCTCCAGGACAGTGCCAAAACCTTTTGGATTGGCATGTACAAGACCCATGAAGGTGAGGTTAACTTCAGCATAATATATACATGTATATACACACCGACACATTGGATATGTGTTGATAAATTAACATGTGTCTCCGCTTCAGACAAGTGGATGTGGATCGATGACAGCCCTTTGGACTATACCAACTGGAAATCAGGAATGCCACAGTCAGAGTCGTGTGTGTACATCAGTTCTTACACTGGTCTGTGGAGTACGACAGAGTGCAGAAGGTCATTTTCTTTCATCTGCAAAACACCAAAAGGTAACTTAAAGAAGCTTTTTTTTTTAAAATATATTCAAATAAGCCTTGTATGTATTTACTGATTTATTTACTGATTTATCATTTTAGTTATTAAACCTACAGAAAAGCCTCCATTTGTTGGTAAGTTGTTAAAAATATATAACATATATTTTTTTATTTTTCAAATCTGAGTAAATTCACTGCTCCAACTTTACATTTTTGCCTCCTCAGCCCACGTCGTCCAGGAAACTACACACGGGTCCGCTGGCATCACTGTGGCTATAGTATTAATTGTAATCGCCATAGTTGGACTTGGTGCCTTCCTCCTGTTCCGTAAAAGGATACCTAGGATACCTGCCCCCACCCTGGGAGAATCCACCTTTGACAACAAGTTATACTTCAACAATCCAAACCGAGCAGCGGTGGACACCAAAGGGCTGGTCGCGAACATAGAACAGAATGAGCAAGCATAGAAAGGCAGGAGAGGATTGGCAATCAACCCCATGAAAATTAGATTTCTGCTTTCATTTTATGTTTATATTTTGGATCACTTCTCTGGAAACTGGAACTGTTTGGTGGGGGGGGGGTTGGTTTGTTTGTTTTGGGTGGGGGTTTGAGGCAATTGTACGATTTGTATGAAAAATAGTGATTACAAATTATTGCGTTTTTGTTTTTCATGATAATGTAAAGTGTGAAATGTGTACAAATTTTTTTGTTTTGTTTTAATGAATGATGAGAATGGCAAAAAGTGAATTTTAGTGCTATTTGACAAATCTTTTTATGGCATTTAAATCAAAGCCTGATTAAAAAAATTTTGAAACCTTGAGGAAAAATTTCCTTTTTTTTTACTTTTAAGTGAATGAATAGAAGCATAGTATTTATTTAGAGCCGTGATATACATGAAGACTGGGCTGATTTCCACTAAGTTATGGTAAACATGAATAGTTGAATCTAATAGAGCTGCAGGCAACATGCTTAGTTTCCACTGTGATGTTTATGTAACCATGTGTAGAAAGGAAAGAAAGAGAGGTCCTTCTCCATCAGGTGGAGAGCAGCTAATCACCTGATGGCAGGGAGGTGGTAAGTACAGGAGGACAAAAAAAATACATTTTATTTATAAAAACCACTCCAGGGTGTTCAGGACAACAAAAACCTAAAAGCACACAAAACAAACTAGCAGTCCACAGTATATTAAGCCTACAGTCACCATGGTCTTAAACTAAGTGCTCAATAAACCATTGGAACAAAAAGCCTTTCATCAGCCTCAATATGAATCACCTGTTGCTGGGTCCAACTCCATGGCCATGCCTGGCAAAGACTCAATATGGCCCGCTGGATTTCATGGGACACTGTGAAGGAGGGCATTGAATTGCAATTTTACAACTTTCACAGCTTTTTATACTGATGGGGATCTCTCCCATTGCCATTCATACGACGCCAGATTAAGTAAGTAATAGATAAACAGTTAAATGACAGAAAAGTCAAAGACATTTTCTGTGAATTGACAAAAACCTTTATTTTATGATTATAAGACAGTCACTGAGTTATTTATTTACTTCCAGTTTTAATTTAAGAGTCATGCTGACAGATTTCTTTCATTACCTATAACATAGAAAATCTGAGACAGATTAATTGCACTAACTTCTTTTTCTAATACTAAGATTGGGATTAAATGTATACTTAAACTTCTTTGCCCTGACAAAAATAGGGATTTTACAAAGTGGGCTGTTTGTGGCCCTCGAATATGAAATGATTTTGACATACCCGTTTTATATAAAAAGCTGCCAGATCATTTCACGAGTCCCTCCTGAGCAAACACCCTTGTTCTTTTTTAATTTATCGAGCACAACCAGGATCCCATTAACGCTACATTGAAGATGTTGTTCTGCATTAGAAAGGTCAGAAAAACTCACTGCTTGCCTCTATCTACAAATCTAAAGAAACTTTTGAAAATGGTTTTTGTTTGTCCATCTTATACACGAGACACGGCGTGCATAAGTGTGAGCACTTTGCTGTCACAGCCGAGAACAATGTTTCTTTTTTCATAGCCTGTGTTACACCTGTTTTTTCTGGCAGTATAGATGCTCACAGTGACAGGATTAAGAGCATGAATTGAAACTTTTATGGATTTTTCTTTGTAGGGATGTGATATGTATTGATAAAAATATATATATATGATGTAGAGAGACAGAAAAAATACAGAAAGAGAGAGAAACACAGCAAAGCAGTCTATTTATGCATAAACCTTTTTTCCTAAGGGAGCTTTTTAAGTATTACTCCATCAGGCTTCAGCCATTCAGTCACCCCTGCTAGAGGCCAGCCCCCCACCATCACCTTATTGTTGAAAATGAGGCAGCACTCTCCATGGTAACTACAGCCTTCCAAGGCTGTCGCAGCTAATCTTCAGGAGCTTACTCACTTCTCATAAGAGGGTTTTACCGGCAGCACCAATGCCCAAAAATTCTCCCCAAACTAGCACTGGATCTTTGGTCTGCCCTACCAGGAAAACCTTCACCCTAGGAGGAAAACAGACCTCGTCACAGCAGCTGATTGGAGCAGAGTGGAGAACGGTATAGGCCTGGTACATCGGGTAAGCTTTTTCATCTGTTCTCTCTCAGCTGTTATTGTAGCTTACAGGAATTTTTAAACAATAAACTATGTGCTCTTGTTGCCGGGTCGAATCGATCTGCAGGGTTTCCAGTGTAGGAGGATGTTGGGAAGCTTAGCGTGTTTTGCAGTGCATGGTTGATCCTTGATTACTCAGAGATCCTGCATAATATGAAAACCTTAGATATGATCATCGCTGGTGCTTAAACATGGAGTGCTTATGATCATCACACCACATGCACTCACTCACATCACCTTCTCCCTTTCTCTTTTACAACTGAAGCTGCTAAATTAGGAAAACGATTCAATCCATGGACTGCTCTAAAAACTGAGATATAAATCAAAAAGGTAACAGTGTCCGCCTCTGTGCCACATACCTACTGCTTAAGAGGAGATATCTCAGATGTGGCTCTGTTTGAGCTATTTCTTTACATTTCTAACAGCTTCTCTCCGGTCCCTATTTTTCCTCAGTACTAATTATGTTGTCTACAGTCTCCCCCTCATGCCCCCGTCTCCCTGCCCCTGTGCTCTCTTTCACTTGCCTGCACTAATCCTTTTGTTATGGACTGAGGGGCCCAGGCTTTTACTGACCATTCGGCACTGTAAGGACTGGTTCACCTCCGAACCGTCCAGTTCACGTCAGATCAGTTGTGCCTATTATTAGCACCTCCCTTGTCTAAAAAACATCACTGCCTTTCTTAGTAGCCTTCTGCCATCATTCACCTTGATACAGTTCTCTCTCTCTGTTTTCTTGTTTTCCATGTATCACTTCCTTGTCATCTCAAACCTCTAGCCAGTCCTGGAAGTGTGAGGGAGTTTGACGACCTTGGTAGGAACATGTACTTCATGAGCAGTACTTGGTGTTTGCTGCTGCTACTGCTGTATTTTTGTCCTCTTGGGAGAATGCTGGAAGTGAAAGGGCAGGAGCAGGGGTACCTGCAGGAGGCTCTCAGGTCCTTGAATTTGCCCGTGGGGCCGGACAACAAGGCTCAACTCCAGAAGAACAGAACCAGTGTGCTGATCACCACACTTCTCCAGGCAGTGCGCTGCACAGAGCGGACGGGCAGCTCTCAGGACATGTGTGAGAAGGTAATGCTTACACCTGTCTTAAAATGTTTTATCACTAAAATGTCACTAAGTGCTAAACTGAGCAAGGGCAATAATGCTTTTCCTGAACACACAGCAGGAAAAATGTTTGTTATGGCTGGAATGTGAGTGGATGTGGAGGCTTAAGTCCTTGACCTGCACAGAGCATTCGTGGCTTTAAACATCCCTCCGTTTGACATAATAAACTCTACAGAGTGGATTTAGAGGTACTACTCATGCTTGTGCAGCTGGGCTGACAGTGTGATTATCAGAATCAGAAAGACTTTATTTATCCCCCAGGGGCAATTAAGATACAACAGAGCAGCATGACGTGGAAGATAAGGATGTCTGCGTCAAACTTTTAAATTAAGATTTAGTAATTAAGAGAGTAGCTTTTATCTCTCTTCAGTGAATATCCAGCTCTTTCCCAGAAGAAACAGTGCTTCACTCACTCTCTCAAACGTTTGCAACCTGCATGTGGGGTTAATTGGTCTCAACCGCTTCTTTTCCAAGAAGCAAAGAACAGAACATTGTGTGCAGAGAAAAAGTAGTGCTGTTATCAACACAACATCTTTCAAAAGTTAGCATGACCTAGATTTTTTCAACTTCCTTTAAATAAAATGTATTAAAAAAAATTATAATTATTATTTTTAATCGCTCCTGTCCTTGTTACAGTGCCTGACACCAGACATAGCCCTCTCCGTGCTGAAGGATGATGGGAAGGATGTCCTCACTGAGGAGAACTACCAGCAGATCTCAACTGTCCTGCTGTACTATATAATTAACTTGCAAGACCTGTGTGTGTCAAATGCTGCCCCCCCTCCTTCTTCCTTTTCCTCCTCATCTGGGAACTTTCAGTTCTATCTTCTGGCCCTCACTAACTTACATCCAGCTGAAGACAACAGCTTCCTTTCATCCAATGAAACAGAAAGCATCCTGCAGGTCATCAACCAACACTATGAGCCATCCAGCCACCATATACCCTCAAGTTCTCAAGTGAGAGAGCATTTTCTGACAGATATATCTTTTTTTACCGTGTGTACGGCTGCATATAAATAATTCAGTTTTTCCATACCACAGTGCATCGATGCAGCTCATCTCTTGGAAGATGCTGATGTTAAGGGAAATCCAGGTGCTGGTACATCTGCTGTTCCCAGAGTGGCCGCAGCCATCATTAGCCATATTCTCCAAGGCCACTGTTTCAGAAAGAGAAACCTGCCACCTCCTGCCTTCTTTACAGATTATATCTTTCATTCTCTTAACTGCACAAGTAACCTGCAGATTATGGGTGAGTTCAAAAGAGCATGTTTGTATATTTTCCTTCCAGACCACAGCTACACACCATTACCTATAGAAACATCAAATGCAAAGCAGCATTAGCTTTGTACAACACATGCTCTCGTTTTAGCTCCATTTTCAGCCTGAGAAAAGGACACCTTAGATTTTAAATATGGTTTTGTTCACCAGCTGGTTTACCCACTATGTGAATATAACCACTGCCTGATTGAAGGCACAGGTGGGACAATTCAAACACTTTCTACTAGCAACAGCCAGTGGATCCATTGTTCATATTAAAGCCTCTATATAAAATATGGTCATAGCCACCATGACCTTACCCATTGGTACATGAAGTTCCACTGTGAAGCGATTACAGCTTTAAAGCCACGAATCACAATACTGGGTTGGATCTGACTGAGACACTGGGAAATATTGCACACCCTTAAGGGAGTGACGAGTCAGTCACAGAGGATGCCTGTCCTAAAACGCATCCTGCTTCTTTTTGACTCTAAGGGAGACCATCACATACATCATACTATTTTAAATAAGTCATCAGGAGAGTGTTCACTAAGGTGATAAAGCATCATACTACTTTTCAACCAGATGAGTCGCCCCCTGCTGGCTATTAGAAAGAATGCAGGAAGCTATGTCCATCATTCTTATACAGTTAATGATTATTACAAGATTACTGAACAATAATAGAGGATTTAGCTGTTCTTTGTTTTTTGTAAGTCTTCTTAACAGACATGCTCCAAGAGGGAACCGATTATCTTGAGACTAGATGCTCAAATACTGCATCAAAGGCACTACTATAAAACTATACTTACACATATGAAAATTGTTA